ATATATATATATATATATATACATACACATACATATACATACACACATACATACATATACACATACATACATATACACATATATATATATATTTAATATTTAGTTGAGGCCTGTATTTCCATTACATTAGCAGAAAACAAACCATCTTCAGAGAAGAAGCAGACCTCCTCGCCCTGCCTATCTCCAGCCCGTACGGCTTCGTCCCGCTGCATTTCGGTGGCTGGCTGGAACATCTGTTTCTGCTGCTCCAAAAACTGTTTGTTTGTCTTAACAATTACGCCCTGATGTTTCTCATTTCATTTCTCAAATCTCTCGAAAGTCATTATCCAGTTTCTGGTCCTTCAAGGACTGAATTTTTAGAAACTCAATACGACCATCTGTTGAAAGCTGGCGTATACATCGGGCTACAGTCGGCTCACCTTTGACATTTCAGAGGAGTTGTACCGGAGGAAGCATGCAGCCTATCTGTAACCTGCTGGAGTAACATGCTTGCATAGTAAAGCGAGTCAAGGCCGGGCTGTTTGGATCATCTGTCAGAGTAGGGGGACCTAGAAGAAACAGGGAGGGGGTCCCACTGAGAAACTTATGCGTTGCGTAGTTAAAATAATGACAGCGTGAGCTTGGAGCAGATAAGAAGTGCTACTAATGACGGCTTCATATAAACAAGGGTGACACCTTCAGCTACTGCGTTTGCCTTCACAGCCTCTTCAACACAGCTTCAATTTATCCAATTCCACTCGCAGCTTGTCCCTCGAATAAAGTTAGGGAGGGTGGAAAAGTCCTTTTTTGTAAGCGCTGCAGCTGCAGGGTGCACTCACCAACCCAGCAGTCACGAGAACTCAAACTCTTTCTCTGACCTGCCCATCTTTCCCATCGACCCCCTGCTCATGGCTGCTGGGTGTTGTCAATCAGCACCCCCTGGCTCCTTGAACATGGGGGCTCTTTGGCATGCTGCCCAAAACTCCCCTCTGTCCATCTAATGGGGCCTGAGCTCTGGGTCTGGCCTTGTCGAATGGGAGCCGAAGCTCGCAGAGTAAAGGCCAGCATTAGAAAATGGGAAAAAGACTGCAGCATGACTCCATCCCTGAGCAATGAGAGTAAAAGTTGGGCTATGTGTCAAGAGTTCAAAACGAGACAGGTTGGAGTTTGGGAATGGCTGCTTGGCGGGTCAAACGCTAACCATACAACAGTCCACTAAATTCGACTCTATTATACTAAGAAGCTGAAATGAATTGGCCATTGGAGATTTCGAAAAAGAGTAAGACTTAATTACAGCTGTCAAAATATTGTGATGATTATGAAACATACGGTGGCTGCTCAAAGTTTGGATTTTTCTCCTGTTTTATGACTCACGGAACATATTCCACAGCCAAAGGTTGACCCCTTGGAGCAATAATATGACAGATCACGGCGTGAAGCCAAATACACAACCAAACCACATTGTGATTTAGGTTTTTGATTCACTTCAATTCGCTTCAGGGCCAGGGCTGAGGTTTGCTGCCTGGCCTAGACTCTGTATGGCCTAGAAAACGGGAGAATGTGGGAGGCGCCCAAAATATACTTTAGCCACCCATTTAGACACACCCTCTCCCATCACACTGACCTCCGATAGACATTCATCCACTTAACCATCACTGAAATTCTTTAACAGCTGAAACGGCTGCAACCAACAATTCTTTCATCTGTCGACTAATTCTTTGGGTTATCAATTTTTGTTCATTCTATAAACTCTGAAAAATACTAAAATGACCAAAGTTATTTCAAGTAATGTTGATTAATTGTGTGTCAATTGACTGATCAACTAAGTGTATCAATATCAACAAAAAGTGTTGTCATTTTAATGGCAAAACTAAAAGATTTTTACTCATATGAAACCTCTCTTCCTGGTTTTACCTTTAATGACACCTGATCGTTACTATAAAAGCTCCAGTGTTACCTCAACTGCTACTATTCAACAATCACTTGTCATTGTTGGAGCATATGCGGTTGTGTGATTATAATACTGCATCAGAAAAATCAAAAGAGCCATTATGAGAGCAGCGGCTGGCATCATTACACATGCTGCTTACATTCAAATTGCCCACTTAACATAGTTCTCCTACAGCAACATGTGTTTATCATTAGCAAGCAACCTAATGGCTCAAACATTATTCAAGCTGGCTTAATGGCATAGTTGTGCTTTGTTTGGGTCTGTCTGATAAGGGCTAATGGTTTATTAATTTCCCTATGAGTCACAAAAATATACTGAAAATAAAAACATGACTCTGAGTCTCAGTCATTGTCTGATTCAATCACATTACCAAAACGCAGTTATTGTGGGGAAAATCCCCTACCAACATACTAATTGGTATTAGCTTGGATTTATGAGTTTATTTTAATGTATTTTATATGAAGTAACTGCCCAACAACATGATGGCATGTTGAAATATTTCAAGCAACAAAGAAACAAATCAATTTCTCCACAGACCAGAATGCAAAGCAGCCAGCGCAGTAGTAGTTACAGCGGGGCTGAAAAGTATTCAAGGAAAAGTGGGAAATCATTGAGTGAATTAAGATAGAATGAGGCAGGTTGAAGGAAAGCTGCCACTGGAAAAAAATGTAATTACAACACCTTACTAGAAAAACTCCTGGAGCAGTCTCTGTATGAAGACTCAATATCAAAACATGAGGGAGGATTTCTCCCTTAAAGTGAATGCTGTCAGCGTCCAAGCCTAAACACAAAGAGCAAATCTCTTGCTGGCCCTGTCAAAAGGTCACCCAATATTGGGGAGCACTGAAAGGATTTGAAAGGCATCGGAAGTGTCTTCTTGTCCCCCACTGACGCAACAATGCACGAGCAACTGTTTGAACTTGAAAAGTGTTTTATCCGAGGGCAGCCATGCGTGTCACACTGACTGGATGTCATGCGTTCGAGAGGGATTCAAGACTTTGTTCTCGATAACTTTTAAGTGTTTTTCGGAGAGTCACCCCTATGTAACAAAAGTCCCTGTGAAGCTCTGATGATAGGGGTGAACAGCAGACAGAGGAAATTACTGGAGGGAAAGAAGTGAAGAACTTGTCTCTGCAGCCACGACATTACTATCACTTCCACTCTGTCATCCTTTTTATTTGTGATGTGAAAGACCAAAAGTCTCATCTTGGTTGTTATTGATAGTATGTTTACAATCCTCAACATGTATGGCTTCATTTTTCTGCATGTATAGTGTATGATGTACTTATGATGTGACTTTTGAAAAAGACATTTAAATTATAAAATGTGATAAATGTTAAATTTTTAACACAATTCAAAAACAGGTTTTGAGTTGTCATCCTCAAAGTTCCTGAGGTGCAGCGGTGCAGATCACAACACAGCAGGACTTGAGCCAAATAAGATCATGTGCACACACTTGCACATTCAGTCTTGAGCTGTTAGTGATGGCATTTGTTGACACATTAATAATGTTTCCTTTTTATTTATTTTTTATTTCCCACATTGAAAGCAGAGCGAGACACTGAAGAAACGTGTGAAATTGAGCCAATAAGAACAAAGCAAAAGCCGTTTGATGATCTTGATCTGATTACGTTCAACCATCTTTACAGTGGTTTAAAAGATCCCCTTTCCTTCCCGCGTGTTTATCCTTTGTGGAACTAAACTAATCCCAAATCAAAAATCACTTGCCCAATCGGTAAACAGTGCACCTTCGTGCAAGCAGGCAGGTAGAGTTGCTCTTGTATATGCTGTGCACAGTAATTTGATTACTTGCCAAAATTATAGCAGCACCAAGGTGGATTTACCAAACCAACATTTATGACACCCTCAGGGGATTTATCTAAAACAATAAAGCCTCTCTGTCTGTGGAGAGTGGAAGGGAAAAAAGAACACAACTTCAAATATTAGTCTAAGCCACTACGTTTCTGTACAGTGGTAAGTGTGGCAGAAAGCTGGCTCCTGAAGCAAATCCATAATAAAAAATATAACCTTAGAACAAAGTAATGCTTCACATATCTCCAGTCCATTTTCACCTGTTACGACTGACACTTATGTGTCAAAGGAGGGACATATTTGCCATTTCTAAAAATGCTCTGTCATCTTCCAAAGCAGAAATGCAGCCGCAGGCCATCTGTTTTCAGCTGGGATGTTCAGGGAAGTGTCCCTGCCTTCCAGAGCTGTTTACCAAACAAATATTGTTATGCCCCTTCTTGTGTCTCATTCAGCTCAGAGACAACACAGTGCACTGAGCTATGTCAGCATGCACACAGATAACAGCTAACTGCTGGATAATATTGATAATCTGAATGTTTTGGGGTGAATTTTAACAAATTACACAGATGTCTGCAGATAATAATCTAACAAAGGTGTAGCCTGAGGTCAACAAAATCCAAATTTTAGGATAGCATTATTTATAGGATATACAAAATCATATTTTAACACTTCAAAAAAGCGTCATCGTAGGCCTGTGTGAAGTGCATGTTACTGTAGATATAGTCTATCATGTGGACAGTTCATTCATGAACATAATATTAATATTTGTACACGGGCGCCCCCGTTTCCCAGACGGAGCATTCTGCCTCTCCGTGCCGCTGGTCTCCACTTTCACCACAATACAAAGTTAAGAAAACACGGTAATGTTTGGAAAGCAGATGAGACTGGCACTGTGGAGCCGTCTGCTTCTTTGAACGTCACTTTTTCTTTTGTTGTTACCAGAGAAACACAGCTGGCCTGGTGCGCACACCGAAGCCTCCCCCTACCCGGCCCGGGACTCCCCGGTCCGCCTCCCCTTAGCCCGTCCTTACCTCTCTTGCAGGAGGGCGAAAGCTGCGAGCGGTCGGGTGAATCAGCAGCAGAACACATTCTTCTGGAGGCAAATCCGTACGGGGCCCTCCATTAGACACGGGCTCAAAGTGCGAAACGACGGGAGGAACATGAAAACAGCCGGAGGTTGACGGGGGGAAAGAGAGTTTTCAGAACCGCAGAGCTGCTCGGGAGTCGGGGCCAAGGTGCGACAACTCCCGCTGGTCTAAACTCGAGTTGAGGTAGTGGAGAGTTTTCTCGTGGGAAGTTTGGAGTCCGCGTGTTTGAATAAAAGCGTTACGTCCCGGCTTGGTAAAGTCACACACTATCTCTCTCTACCTGTCTGTCTAAACCCGTTATTGTAACTTCTCCCCAAGTTCTCAGTCTCCGTCTCTGTACCGCTGCCTCCGTCACACACGCATCTTTGAAGCCAGTGTCGAGTTGCTCAGCAAATCATGGCAGCGGCGAGGCTGGTCGTCAAACCAGGAATGTCCCAGCCCCACAGCTCAATACGGCTCCTGGAGAGGGGAGGGAGAGAGAGGAGGGGGGTGTTACCCATATAGACTGTGCATTAACAAGTTTTACAATCTAACGAGAACAAAAACAAAACGTCCTCCTTCCTCCTCTGCGCTGCATAACTGTATGACTTATTGTTATCATGTAAAGGTCGATCCACCTGAACGAATTCTTCCATTTGTTTTAACTTGATGATGCACACTTAACCTACATCACAATAAGGGATTTAGGGATTTATCAATTCCTCTCAATATTTATTAAACATATTTTGCTTGTTTTCTTTTCAGTTAGAATTTTTAGTTATTGATTGATCTACAAAATAATCTGACTCTAAGGATCACATGTTACACTGCGCACTTAATTCTTAACCAAGATAGAGAGATATACAAAATGATGGATTGTTAAATTCAAATCTTTAAAACACAAAAGACATCTGTAAAAAGCAACATTTTGGTGAATTAGTTGAATGCTATAAAGAATCTTCAACCAGATGAATATTTAATCTCAACAGTTGTCACTTATACTGAAGTTTGCAGGGATGGGGTAAAATAACAAGGTTTTAAAATCTACAATAAATTGTCATCTCATACAGCAGGTAATCGTCATAAGAAAACCTACCGCCTATGTAAACATAACTAATCATGTTTCCAGAAAACGTAATCTTTATGATTGAGATCAGCTAGACATGAACACAAAGGGAAAAACACAACTTATGACTATACTTGCAAGAATGTAAGTGGCTTTGACTTTACTTTTTTTTCATTAACACAACATTTCCATACAAGTTTATATTGTTTGTACCTAAGGCTTCATTCACTTTGGGAAAATCTACCTCTCTGTTCAGGACAGTGATAGTTCCATCTAATGCACAAACAGCCCCAAAGCCATAAAGGCGGTTCTCATTTTTCAGTGGAATACACTGTGCCTTGTAGATTACACCAGCTCTCACTGGGCCCATTGAAATGAATAAAAGTTATGTGGGAGGGGAATGTTTAAAGAGCTAATAGCTACGGGTCATTTCTGGCATCAGACCTGTTGGTTGGATGGGCTGAATGTTGGTTGGCTGCAGCTATTTCCTCATCACTAGGTGAAACGCCTTCACAGAGGGGCGGGGGAGAGGGAGCTGAGTGTGAAACAGTCATCTGTTGTGCGTATGGGCACGAGTAAACAGCATAATCATCTTTGAGGCAGTAATTATGTGCTCCAGCGTTGGCCGGGCGAGCGGCGGCAGGCCCACCCTGCTTCAGACAGCAGGTGCAGCTCACCATCTGACAGCTGACTCCTAATGGAAGGTGTGATCCAATCCTCCCGAGGCCGGGTCGACCCAATGCGAGCCTTCAGGCTGTCAGGGCCAAAACCAACAAACCAGCAAACCTCTGACACAGGAGGAGAGGGAAAACAAGATGGAGGAGGTGGTGGAGACGGGACTGATGAAGGACGGATGCTTCAACTCTGTTTTCACAGTTGAACAGACCTGCCATCTTTTTGCCAGTTTTCTGTCATTGTCAAGTGTCTATTCTTACTTATCAGCACCACTTTTTAATGTCATCATATATTATAAAAGCTTTAGTATTCGCATTGCTATTATTTACATTTCTTGGTCGAACAGTTATGACAAACTATTAAACTGTAGACTTGATGGATGATTGTGGTTGAAAAACCCTTTCATGTCTCATTGGACACTACAGCCCACTTTTTTTCCATCATCATTTGTAATACAAGTGATTCATTTTTTTTCAACCCAGTGATAGCAAAATTGTCTCCCTCTCTCTCTCTCTCTCTCTCTCTCTCTCTCAGGGTCAGGAACTGGTTGGAGATGGAGACGGAGGCTCTGGGTTCAGAGGGGGGTTAGCGGGGTGATTGGACACAGTCGCATGTGAAAGGCCAGAGAGCGCCGATTCCACAGGGAGCAGAGTCCACACACAAAGGGCCAGGGAGGGGCTCGGTGGGGGCTGGAGGGGCGACCGAGGAGGAGAGGCCACGCTGGGAACCAAAGCTGACAGCACAGACACTTCTCATCCACTGGGGGTTCGGCTGTCTCTGGCCCCCTGGGGTATATGCTCACTGGTGGATCCACAGCGGCTTCAGCGAGCTGCTCACTGAGAGCAGAAGCAGCAGAAACACTAAACACACAAAGCGGCAGTGACCTCTGGCCCACATTTAACTGATATGAAAGTTGTTTCCTTAGTCATATTAGCCCTGATCAAATATCAACAGGCTACGTCACATTTAGCCAATACGAGATGACTTGATGATCATGCAGAGGCTGGAAAACAAAAGCAGTTTAAACTTTGTACATTAAAATACTGACTTTCCTCATGCAACGTCCTGATTTAACTTTAAAAGAGGGGAGGGGGCAGGATACCTGCTAACAAGGGCATTGTCTAAATCCGCAGGCTGGGATTGTTTGGTGTTGGTACCTCCAGCTTGCTGTCCTTTGCTCCGAGGATAAAAAGCCTCCGACCACTGTCAACAGAGTGTTTATGACCTGCAAAGCAGGCCTGGGTTGTGTTGACTCTGTCAGCAGGGGCCTGGGGGACGCCTGACTCCCAGTGCTATTAAAAGGCACTTTCAGATAACAGGAGTACCATCCCTCTGTTTGTCAGGATTTTTTGATTCGTCAGCAGGACAAAATACCAAAGCGTAATTGTTGTTTGCTGTAATTGTCAGATCTGACGCCCAATTTTATGTAATTACTTGAAAGGGTAAAATGCCACGAACAAGCACTTATCGTCATTATTGTTCTAGAATGCTGAGGCATGGAATAAGACAGCTACAAAAATGTTAGTTTTTTTTTTAATGGAGCTAAGACAAGGACATTCATTTGCAACTTTTTATACGTTTTTCTAAGACAAGGAAAAATGTGTGCGAGCAAAGAAATATATATGAGAGTGAGAAAGATCACAATATTTTACAACAGAGACTAAATGGATTTCCCCTTGGAGTGCTGTATATCTCATGACCTAGACAGGTGTGTGCAGTGAGTATGGGTGTGTGGGTTGTGCCTTTCTGTGTGTCTGGGTGTGGGCCTGTGGTTGTGTGAGTGTTCATGGATGTGTATAAAGAAAGAGAGGAAGAGAAATGTGAGGGCACGTTTCTCCATCTGGTTTCTGCATCACTGTGGTGGGATCACATTATCCATCGTAGGCTCTCTGGGAATTTCATCAGTCTGTAACATCTCACTTATTCACACGTCTCCGTGGGCTTTACCATGTAGAACAATCCCTCCTGACACTGCAGTGACCCTGTACATCCTTAAAGCTTCCTCTTTTCTCCTTTGGTGCCTCTGTGTAAACTCCAGTTTTCACTCTGTATATATATACAGTATATATATATATATATATATATATGTATCGAACTTGAGTTACTCGTGAGTAACAAACACAAACTCATAATGTCTTCCTTTAGATTCTCTTGTCATATTTAATGAATAAAGATAGTTAAGTAGATTTTTAAAAAAAAGAAAACTGTAGCTCTGATGTGATGATCCTAACATTTTCGATCCACAGAGCATTGTATATCACGATTTAATGTGAAAGGTTTATTGTTATAACAAGAAGTTTTTCATGACGTTGTAACACAGAACCTTTCTTCTTATAACATTATGCTATGTATCTTGTTATAACGTAAATATTTCACGTTACAGTGTGATAACTTAGCCTATATTGTTATAACATGAAACTTATGTTTGAATGGAAACAGTGTTCAGAGAAGGAATTTATTGAGGAATTTGGCTCATTTACAGGATTTATTAAGTTCCACTTCATGCTTGGGTTGAGACATGGTGAGCTTCTCCGGTTATTGAGCATGGTGGATGATATTGTGATAAGTATGCATACACCATGAGGGGTTTTAAAATGCAGGGGGAGTAACAATTACTTTACAATTCCACTACCTGTGCACGAAAACACATTTTACAGACGTATCTGTAATCCAAATACCGTAGTTCTTGAGGAATGTAACAAAACTATAACCAGTCCATTTTTGTAACAGTACTCACGATGTGAAGCTATGAAAACTGTTCTGCTACTCTGCACTATATCACTGCCACAAAGCTCAGATTTACAACGGATTCAGAAATTGTACGGACGTGTTGTTCCGGTCTCATCCCCAACAGCCGAATCAGCACTGACGTGAAGCTGTCATGATATAGCATTCAGGAGTTGACTGTAGTGGGTATCTGGGGAGTAGTGGAGCAGGAAGAGGCCGAAGTGAAATATCATTCCTATTAAACACTGATGTTTCCTCTGGTCCCACGGGCTCATGATGGCCTTGTGATTTATGGTGCAGAACTGGAGGAGCAGATCAGAATACAGCTGCCCCATAGCTGCACACAAACACGTGTATACCAGACTCAAGCATAACTGGTAGTCTTGGTCTACATTCAAATCAGTGCAGCTTTGGAATGAATGTTTTCCAGCTCTTGGACTAAAATAAATAAAATAAATGTATCTGCATTTCTTATCTTTTGTGTTTATTTGCCTGTGCCTGTGAATCCAGAGATTATATTCGTAAAGTGTGGCGCTTGTTGCAGCTAACTGGCTTTTCCAGCTCGTTCTGAATTGCATGAAGTGATGTAGAAAATGAGCCAGATGAAGAGGATTAGAATCTGAGACTGCCTGCGCTTATCATCTCCCGTAGCACTGGAGTGTAGCCATGGAAACAGGAAGTGAGAGGCAAGCTTCCAAGATGGCCACCAGTTTCTGAATGGATGCATTCCTCAACGGCAGGGTGTCTGCTGGAGGGAGGAGGGGCGAACATGTGTGTTTACTCCAAAAAGAGACTATATAAATAGTAACTGCTGCTGTTTTAAGGACTTCCTGTCACTAGGTATTCCATAAAACAGTAGTTAAATAAACAATCAGTTTCCCATTGGGGCTGCCTTGTCTATACTGAAGTGAAGTCTGCTGTGAGTTCAATCCAGGACCTCAGTGTGTGGATTTTAAAGCCCCAGACTAGAGTCATGGAGCTGTTACAGGTCACCACACT